TGACTGAACTCCTTTTACGCATTTTTTTATCATTTTAAGTCATGTCATTTAACACGTTTAAGGCGCGTAAATTATAATTTAATACATTTTCAAACGTGTCAGATGTTGGTAAGAAACGTGTAAAAAGAGCACCAGCCGAAACAATACATTTGGATTTGCAGTGCGTGCGTTTTCTCGAGTATCTAGACTCGAAGGGCAGAATATCCTCCATATCGCACCCCGTCGATCCCGTGCATATCTCGGCGACGTGTGTTCAGGAAAATGCCCGAAACGGAGAAGAACAGGTAGCGATCGTTCGCAAGCAGAGAGAGGTGCGGCTTTGGGTTTCGAGGCGATGCGCATGCGAGCGGCTCTCGACTTATGGAAGTTTAGCCGTTAACTTAACCGGCGTTTACCTTAATCTAAGATCAGCTACGGCCCGAGCCGTGCACCGCGCGGTATAATGTATGGCCGTATGAATATGCATTGGACACGGTAGACGCTGAGGTCTACCGCGTGCGTGTGCCGAGCGCATACACTCGCGCGAGCGCACCCCGTTGACGTGTTTGCCCACGCTCACTTTGCTGGTACACACTTTGCCGACGATACGCTTTCGCTGTACACACGCCATTCGCATGTGTGCGCGTTTGTGTACGTGTGGGTGCGTGCACGCGCGATTTAATGGTGTTGCCGCGCCGGTGCGAGCGCCCCGTAAGAAGCTCGATACGTCGTATTTACTTTGACTTTGCTCCACGTAACGTAACAATACATTCTACAATGTAATAATATTTGTAATAATACATTTTAGAGAGACGCATTTCGCAGAACGTCGCGAGCGGCTGCGCGCGTCCTGTGTAGATTTTGCGAAGGAAGACGGCGGCTCGTAGGAAGCGCAACGATGTCATTAGTCGTTAGGTTTGCAGTGCTCGCGCAGATGACAGTCTTTCGTTACTTGAAACACTATCGTTAGGTACTTCTGCGTGAGACTATTAGTCGACTCTACATTACTTAGAGGCATTGTTGAACGTTTCTCACAATTACGCTTTTCGTTTCGAAAAGGATCGAATTTTTTTTCAAGAAGAGATTTTAAAAAAGTGAAACATTTTTCCAGAAGAGGTTTTAAAAAAGTGGAACATTTTTTTTATTCGGAATTTTCAAATCCAAAAATTCAAAGTTCTGAAGTTAATGATCCTTCAAAATGCTCGCAAAATTCGTTCAGATAAAGATCCATTCTTCCACTTGCTCCGACGGCTTTGCATCATGCGCAACTCACAAAAATTTCCGAATTAAAAAATGGAAATTTTAAATTTCCGTTACAAGTCTGAACGAACAGTCAAAAAATTTAAATTTCTGTCACATGTCTGAAGTCAACGAGAAGCTGTTGAACAAACGACACGTATCATCCCAATACGTAGTCTTGTAAAATACTCTATTTGCCTCCCTCTAAAATTCACTCTTTCTCACACAGTACACTCTCTATCACTCTTGCGCTTCAATTACTTCTCTCTCTTTTTTTTTTTTAATGATTCAACGGTACCATATTCGATGAATAAAACATAGGACATAATACGAAAAGTAGCGCGCGTCTCGTTCGCTGGTCGTCGGTTAAACGAATGAGAGCAGGCTGCGTTACTTTTGCGGGTGCGTGTGGGAGTAATTTGTGAGTCGCGCACACGATACGGTGCGGAGCAAGTAGAAGGTGGATCTTTATCTGGACGAATTTTACGAGCGTTTTAAAGGATCGTTAATTTCAGGACTTTTATCGTGCCTCGAGCCTCGAGCCGTTCGGGTGTCCGCTTCCACCGGCAGCTGCTAAAAGTGGATTTCAACGAAAGTTGAGCATCGATGTTACGCCGTCTCGTTGCATTAGCGACTCTCTAAATCATCGAAGCGAACGTAAGACCGGCCAGTTGAAAGATCGTCGATAAACAAATTTATTCGCGTTGCGTTCGTTTCATGCAACATCTGTTGGCGCGCGGACCGTTTAATTAACTTGGAAGATACGTAGTAAAGCGTTTTACAGTTCCAACGGCGAGGTAATGTCGAGTTTTTGTATGTCTTTAGCAAAAGTTGATCTTAATCTCAAGTATGTTTTCGATCTTAATTATGTCACGGTAACCGTCTAATCAATATCCGAAGGGAGCTAATTACAAATTACAATTCTTAAGAGGTACTATGAATAATAATATCACGCGCGAGATACATTTTAACGATAAAATAATTACATGAGTGATAAAAAAGAAACTCTTAATGAAAGCATGGCTTTAAAATTCCGTGAAATTCGCGTTAAGCAGAAAAGTGCGGGTAAGACGAAGCTTGGATCAAATTCTCTCTGAATATGTCGGGCTTAACTTTATACATTGTTTCAAAGTGACTGAAAAATGTCGTTACGGTCTAGCCGGAGCGTCTGGGATTTATGAGGCTTAATTGGCACGTTGATAGGAGCAGTTTTAACGCTCTTAACTTTTCACTTCGTCTTCCTGACCGGATCGCGAGGCTCAAGTCGTGTCCTCATGTAAATTTAATGACGTACACGTGGATATACTTGTCCAGGGTATTAGGACGATACATCCATATTAATATCTTCGGGCAACGTCTCGCGCGCGCGTTAAAAAGTTCAAAGAGCCTCGGGGAAATTTCCCGAGGAGATTTCCGACACCTACTAATGGGCGAGAGTGATGCGTTTTAACGACACTAACTTCTCGCCTTCGCCTCCGTGTATCATTCTCCGCGCGAAATATCGTGCGTCCGCTACCGTCATTTTCTTTTTCTAAAGTTCAAGTATGTTATAATTCACGAACGGAATGCACAGCGCGATAATGCAAGAGCACGTGATATTAAACAAGCGAAAGATTCAAAAATGTCTACTCACGGCATACTTTACATCTTCCGGTGGATATGTTAATGTTTCTGGCTCCGCTATTATTTCAAGAATTGCTTTCTGTGCCAAGTGAGACTGCGTTTCGACATATGCATAATTCAGGATTGCGCACATCCTGGACACGCTGATATTTACGTTGTTTCTGTTAATCGAGATCGTCGCGAGATATAACGTTATCATAAATCGACCTTATGCTTGCGTATGCCCGTACGCTTACGTCGCGAATATTTAGGCGTCGGAGAATACGAAAGCGCGCGAATATAAGTGGCGTTTCCTGGTAATTAGCGTCGGGTTTTTCTACATGTTCGAGTTGCATTAGTGGTTTTCCATGGGGATTTCGCGAAACTAATTACCGGGCGATAAGTACGCTCTTTAACGATGCTAACTTTTCATTTCGTTGCTTCGTGGGTGCGACACTCGTGGCTAATTCTCATGTTTAATTAATGAGACGCGTACGTACGAACGCATCACCTTCCAGGCGTGCCCGTGCAACACGTACACGCTTGTCCGCCACATCCGCGAAGGGGGTGACGCGTGTAAAGGTGCGTGTAAAATAAAAGGTGCAAAAATTAGCCGAGCATTTTCTTACGAGTCACCGACTTTCGTGTCGAGTCACGCCTTGACGATCGCATTACAGGCTTCGTTAATTTTTTTTCCTTCTTTTTTCCCCAAAAGAAACATTTCGCGTGCAAATCGACGAGAACAATTCTCCGATTCCTCGTGTGTGGTATAAAACTGGCGAGCACCTCGCCAATAACTGATAATTCTCGAAACAGTTTAGCCATCCCGCAAGAGTATTAGTGACGCGGTTAATATACGCCATTTTGCGCCGTGTGTACTGTAATCAGACAAGCCACGCTCTGCCACTTACATAATTGTAAGGTGCGCATTACAAAGAGCTCTAAGTAATCTATTATTTCAGAAGAATTATTCTCTCGTGTATTCGCGCATTCATAGTAACGCACCATATGGAGTCGCATATGGGTACGAATGAACGTAAGCGTGGATCTTGCTAATTAAATAATGTCACTGTACCCAATTTCTAGACTTCTATCGCATTCCTACTTATTCCACCGTACCTAATTCTATTTCAATGCGGTTCCACCGACGTCGGAATAATTATCCGTTTCGGAACATGTTCGTGTGCTGTCATGAGTGAACAACATACAGCTGACGTTTCTGAACGTAGTACATCGAGTGAGAATATTCGGAAACTTATTTGTGAGATATAAAATTTATTTCTGCGAAATAAACCTTATATCTCACAGATAAATTTCCAAGTACTCTTTTCTGCGTACTTTCAAGGAGCTGTTCGCTCGATTTTGCGATACCTATTGCAGGAGCGATTGTCAATATCTGTCGATTGTAACCTATTATCGCTTTTAGCACCTACTATGTTTACGACCACCCTAATCGAGTCTATCGTCGCACGATTTAACGTTCAGCGTCACTCTGCGACGACATCGGACGATCACATCCCGAGTTAATCAACGTGCTCCTTTGATATGCTTAACGAGCCTTTTCTTGAGCCTCGACGACAGGGTGGCGCAAAAAGTTCACGTAGCAAAAAACGCCCGCGCTCGCTCGCTCGCCCGGACTCTCGTGCCGGCTCGCTCGTCCTCGTGAATTCGTAAATTCGCGGAGTAACTTCGCGGAGCTGGTGCCACCCTCTCTCCGTCTCGATAGCACTTCACCCCTTCCAGGTGGTCTCGCTGGATCCTCTCCCTCCCCTCTGACCTCCTCTGTCTTTCTCTTTTCTACTCCTCTCCTCCTCTCCCCCTCTCTCTTTCTCTCTCTCTCTCCCTCCCTCTCTCTTTCTCTCTCTCTCTCTCTCTCTTCCTCTCTCTCTTTCTCTCTCTACCGACGATTCGCTTCGTCGTTCCATCTCGAGGAGAGCGAGCTGGAAGTGGGAGAGTATCACAGCCTGCCCCACCTCGCTTAACCCCCCTGTTGCCCCCTCCCCCTCCCCGCACCAGTGCACCCGTGCCCCCCCCACTACCGTCGTCTTCGAGCCCGGGTTCCCCCCGCCTCCACCTGGACTATAATGAAAGATATTAACTACAATTTTATATCGAATTACCGCTGAAACACATTTCAAATTACTTGGGCGTAGCCGTGCCACATAGCGGAGGCGCTGAGGTTGCTTCAGTTGGGATTGGCGGGATACTTAACACCAACGTATCGGATTGGCTAGGAGCGATTTGAAGTGGGGTTAGCGCGGGGCGTTCCTCAAACCCGATATGGCCGCCCAGGAACGAGTGGAGGCGCCTGGTGTCTTCAGTAAGGACAGACCAGTCGAGGCAACTCGATGCACACGCACGCCTCGTGCCACGAATACGTCCTCAACACTGTCAGATCATTCGGAGTGGTTCTACTTCCGGTGGACATTACGGTTACTTTCGCGAAGATCGATCCCCACCCCGGGCCTGCACAAACGCGATCGTCCGATTCGCGAGTTGGAGATGCCAGTCTAATCGGTTGGACCGAATACCCGTTTGAAAAGTCTTATGTGGTTCGCCGTGACGAGCAGTCAATCGAGAACGAGCTAACAGACATTCGTCTAGATTCGATTCGACTCTGCCAAGTGTCCGGATGATCTCACGCAGCCACGTGATTGACTCGGTGACAGTGCGATTTGAAGGAGAGAACAGTGTCGACAGACTGTAACGGTACCACCCAATCTCCAGTCGTTTCGAGATCCGTGAGCGTTGATGAACGCTTCACCGCAGGAGTGATCAATTCAGGCACGTGTGACAGGCGAGACCACGATAAGCCGCGGCTAAACATAGACTCTCGAGATGGACGTAAACTAGATAGATCGATCGAGTGACGGTGTTGAACTGATCAGACCCTGATAGATGTGATCACCCCCTCCCATATCCATTGATCCGGCACGCACGACACAGTCGCGAGCTGACAGGATAACGCGAAGGCGCGCCAACATCTAAGAATTCTTCCTTAAAGGTCCCGTCACATTAGTTTCACGGTTAAACGACCGGCTGGTGAACACGCGCAGTAGGGGGTCTTGTTTCCATTCGTGGACAAGGCGCGCATCATCATCCCACCGACGCGTAATCGCGCAAAAGTGAGAGGAACGCGCGGGGTCTTGTATAAAAAATAATTAATAATTGAACGAGCAAGGAAAAGGAGAAAAAGGAAAGCGGAAATGGCCGGCGGCTTCGCTCTTATGCGCGGCAATTATGTTAAGTGGCCAATTAGCAATTAACCAGGGAGCCGAGCCGAGCGGCCCCTTAATTGCGCTTGGGAAGAAGGTGGTGGCGGAGGTGGAGCGACCAAGTGAACGGGAGGAAGTGCAAGGTGCATACGCATCCCGTGAATATCTGTCTCACGCGCCATTTACTCCAGATTTGCGCCGGGGGATTCTCGCCGATCTGTATCCCAAATCGTTCTTTGACTTTTGCACAGTTGGACGGTTCTGATACTTAAGCGAGATGAATCACCGAGTTCCCGAAGCGAGATCTCTCCTAATTTACTGAAACGTTCGCGAGTGCGTTCGTGTCCTCGGCGCGATCGCGCGAAAGGAGCCTGCCTCGACTCTGCCGTCGGGAAAAATCCGATCCCCACGGAATTCGGGATCAGCATTTCGGAGATGCCGGGTAACGCGCTAGTCGTACACGCACGAGGGGAGGAGGAGTGAATCCAAGGGCCGAGGTATACCGGGAATACAGTGAAGTGAAGTTGACACAGTGAGAGGGCGCGAATTCCTGGCGCAGGCTACGTCGTCACCGTCGGCAAGATTCTGTCTCCCAGGTACCGGGCGAGTCCTGGGGTGGCGACAGAGGCACCTGCAGGTGCCCGTAGCCCGAAGGAACCACCTGCGTCTACCGTGATGACGGTCCATCATCAGCAGAACCACCACGTGGCCGCTCTCAGTGGCGTCGCCGTGGCCAATAACGGACTGAATCTCAGCAGGATGTCCGGCCTGGAGGCACACCGGCTGGAAAACATCGTCGACCGGAACGGCGTCGCCGTCGAGCGTCTCTCCAACGGTCTGGACTCGCGTAACAACAATTTAAATAATAACAACGGCCTGGAGAGGGGCGACGCCTCGACGACGATGCCGCAGAGATCGAGGTTTATGATCACCGACATCCTGGGCGGCGCGTCCAGCAAGATGCACCAGACCGGACTGCCTAGCCAGGAGCCACCCGGAAGTCCACCCTCGACGCCGCGAGACCTCAGTGTCAGGCATCAGTCCAGAACGTCCTTGAGCAACAGCAATCTGGACGAGGACAGCGACGCCAGCCACCACGACGGCGCTTCCGTTACTTCCAATGGTAAATGATACTCTATTGCACGCTTTCGAAACTACTCGTCGCTTCGCGCAACGACTTGAGGACTTTAACGATCCGATTTTATCGACTCTTTCCTATCTTTCACAAGAGTAGCCGGCCGTTTCACTCCACCTATCCCTCTCGGGATTATAATTTGCGTTGTGTGAGCGCGAAGTATTTAAGGAGCACTTATACGCGACTTCGCTCGATCGAGAAGAAAACGCTCATTATTGCGGACGCTTTTTGCGAGAGACAGAGGCACGCGAGCGCGTTTCGCGATTTCGTTTGTTCATCTAACCGCTCGCGTGGACTTTCACGGAGGTGTCAAGGACATCTACGGGACATGGTCTCTCTTTCTGTTTCTCCCGACCGGATGTTCCAATCAGTGAGATCACGTTGACCGTCGCCGCACACAGAACGCCTCCTTCGGGAATCAGATACATCTTCGCGGAGATACAGGTCTTTTTCTTTCTCTCTCCTCCACTCTCTCGTCCCCGACGTTGTTGAGCCACGTTGGACCGACAACGTTTAGGGATTCTAATGGTCTTAAATTGGAGCTCGGCACTCGAGAGCTTTAATTATGTTACCCTCATTTGTTTCATTCATCTTTTCTACCTGTCTACCTGTGCCGCTGTCCTCTGGAGTTTAACCCCGTGGGGCTGGGGCGAACGCTTGGCTGTCGTAACTTCTTTTGATCGCGCGACGTCGAATTTCGCAAGACGTCGGACGGGGAAAGACGCGTGTATTGCGCGAAATCGGAGCGATTCCACGACGCAGCTCACGCGCTAATGATCCCGCGGCTCGCAGAGCGTGGACGTGCGTGCTCGTAATTCGCGACGCGGGTGGAACGGCATTTGTGAAAATATAAAAATAGAAAGTACAACGTCACTCTTTCTTCGGGCGGCGAACACACGTGCGTGAAAACACACGTTTTGTGTACGAAAAGTGTTGCCCCGGCGCACGTCAATTTCCACTGCGCGCACGCTAATAAACGTTGCGTCGTTACAAATCACACGGTGATCACAGAAACCGCGGTCGCGCGCGACGTTTTCTCTCGGGCCTCGCCGAAGGTGTGCTATTAAGGCGACCTGTGCCGAGTGTATCGGCACAATTTCCGTTAATTTACAGCTCCTACCGCCTCGGACCGGTCGTCCTCCTTTTCCTCTTCGCTGGCGCGCGCGCCTGCCTTTTTATTCTTCTCCCTTTTCGAAGCGCGCGACGCGAAGCCGCCCGCCGCTACAACGGCTAAGTCCGCCGTGTTCATTCCGTAATCGGCTTATTTTCTCAAAGAAGCGCATTACCGGCAATTACGTGGACGACGACAACGTGATTAGAAGAGCGGCGACGACGGGCGGTCGGCGACACGAGCAACACTAATACTGCTTCCGCGCCACTAAATCCGGCGCTCCTTGTGAAAACAGCAGCGGGCTGTTAAAGCGCCGATTTTTCCACGACATTGACTCGCCGCGACGGCTCGCACCTTGCACCGCGCCCGCTATTTATAACTCCCCTTAAGTGTTTCACGGACAAGACCAATGACCAGCCCCGGCGAGGCGCGGCGCGCGACGTTTGGAAATCTCGAGAGTCACGTCATGGTGATCGATAAACGTCGTCCTTGCCGCGCCACGGTGACACGGGGAACAGGGAAAAGCGGCCCCGCGCGATAAGGGATATGTGCCGATCGTGCCGGGGCCACGGAGTCATGCGACACGATCGTACGCTTTTACCGGACCTACATTCGGACCGGATACGGATCTACGTGGCGGATTTATCGCAGTATAATAACAAATCTTTGCCACAAACGATCGCGAGCGAGCGGGCGTGTACACGCGAATACATAGAAACATACCGCTGAAATTACCTGTACTTATTAGCCATTGCAGTCGTGCCAGCTTCTTACACGGGCGAAGCCCTAGGCTTCGTATCGAACCATCGCAAAGACCTCTGTAAAAAGCTCGCGGCGCTTCCGCGACAACACAACGCGACGCGACGCGAGAGGAGAGCGCGGTGTTAAAACACGAAGCGTTTCTTTAAGCTAATAACAGCGGCATTCGTTGCTATTATCGTGGAAACGAGAGAGAGAGAGAGGAAGAAGAGAGAAAGAAAGAGAGACACGGTCGGTCATCATCGCGCGCGACCGTAATCGCCAATGCGTAAATGGTATCCACCTTCCGTGGTACGCCATTCTGCGCGCCACGTCGCGCGAATTATTAATGAAGGACAATTAGGAGGAGTAACGCCGATGTAATTGCCGTGCCGCACGCTTTCACGTAGATTGGCCCAGGCGATTTTTTACGGGGGCAGCCCCGTTAAAGCCCCGCGTGCGCGCGCGTTTGTCCGTCCGTCCGTCCGTCCGTCCATTCCAATTTCCCGTCTCGATTATTACATTCCGCCATCGCAGCGCCGGGACCGACGCCGCGGCTCGTCACGGTACAAATACGATCGATCTTTCACGCGGCGTTGATTAGAAAATTATTAACGTCGGACTAACAACCAGACGTAATTGCCGGCGGATTTACGCATCGATCATGCGCCGCCGCCGCCGCAGCCGCAGTCGCAGCCACCGCAGCCGCCGTTGAGCCGATCGCTCGTTAGCTGTTTACTTCTCGGTAGTATCGCGAGCCCCTAATTATCGTCCCGAGCGTATCCTTACGCGACAATTACAGGCGCACCGTGCGTCACACTGATGAGCGGGGGAATTATTAACGAAGGGCAATTTAAGGTACGCGATTTTCTGATCGTGGGGCGGAACACAGGCGCTGGGAAGGACATTCCGCGCGTGTAATTTAATCTGGATTTATCGCCGTGCGATATCTTACGGTGTCACGGTGAAATTGCCTTTTCGCTACTGCCAGATCGCATGTTTTCGTCCGTGATCGTTTTTTTTTAATCGTGGATTAATGCATAATCGATTTGTCGACGCGAGGCGTTATCGCGCGCCTTTTTAGATGCAGCTTGTCACCGCAACTCGGGAACTTTTGCGATAGTCGTGTGTGTGCGTGCGCGCGCGCGTGTGTGTGTGTGTGTGTGCGTGCGTCTGTGTGTAAGCCGTTTGATCGACGATTAGAGAAACAAATGATAAAGTAAGCATTTGGATTTCAATTTCTTCCGTTGAAAGATTCGACGCTCTCTCAACTTGTGGCGATTTATGTCATTTGTGATTGCGATTGCACGATTAATGTGTACATGAAACAAAACGTAAACGCGATCTTCAGTATATACCGTATCACATTAAACGTCCAATTATGCACGTGAGAGACGTAACAGATACCCGCGAGCATCCTACCTTCGCACTACACGTCTCTTTTAACGCGATCTTAACGTCGGATCAATGCACTCCATTCTAGCCGGCTTGAGAAAGGCGTGAAAAAACCGATCTTTCTCCGCGCGGAATATCATTTCTTGGGCGCGTGTGCGAGCCGTTTGTAATCCGCTTACGAAGCCAACATTCGTCCCCAGGATCGCATTGTTGTCGCCTGTGTGTCGGTCCGGAAGGTTCTGCAAGGGCAGGCCGTTTCACGCCCTTACGGACGAGCTCGCTGGCTTTTCGACGCGCGACTAATCCGAGAACCGGAAATGATTGGCAACCGTTTAGAACCAGGCGCGGATTAGCGGCTCTATGTGAGAGGGACTTTCGCGAGACGAAAGCAATTTCGAGTCCCGAGGCGCCTTTTTGCGAGACCCGACAAGTCGGTGCCGGCTGTCGGCCTTTTGACGACACAATCTGCGCGAGATTAATCCATGATCTGAATATCGAGCCGAGAGAGAAAGAAAGAAAGGGGAGAGAGAGCGAGGGGGACAGACGGCGAGGAGAAGTGAGGAGAGGAGAAGATTCAACGGTACGAGGTAGAAGCGGTGCCGATAACTCGAATGCCGCTGCGACTCGTTGTGCGAATATGTCAGCAGCAGCGAGGCACTTTAAGTGGCTGATGATGAGAAAACGATTATCTGAATATCAAAGAGACCACGAGAGATAACGATGCTGAAAACCTCGCCGGATAGACATACCGACGCGTCTCGGATGCGGTATCTCGCAACAGTGAGTTTGTCGCGAAAAAAAGTTGCACGAACGGCAAATTTTATTAAACCGTAATCTTGTCCGAGAAGCGAAATAAATACGCGTGTCTCTTCGACGGGATAATGAATTTCTTCTGCGCCGCGGAGGATATAATCATCCCGTTGCGCGATACACCGGCTATTAAACAATGTGCAATGCTGAATTTCAATGCGCCCGAAGGTACACATATCGAAGGTTTAGCAATCGTCATGACTTGACGGAATATCGCGCCGGATCTAATCGCGGCGAATGATCGCGCGATTAGCTTACGGCACGGTAGGAAAGGTATCGTGTTTACAAAGCGGGTGATCTTAGATTACGCGCGGGTGATTAATTATTCCGTCGGAGGCAAACGTTTATGTAGGAAACAATGCGCAGATGCGCACTGTCTTATTCCGCGGTATCTTTGCAACCTGGTACCACTTTGTGCCCCTCCTCTGCCCGAGGTTATTAGAAATCATTTAAGGGAACGCCAAAATAGATGACGAACTCCAAAAATGTCGGCAACGCAGAGGCGATCATCACTAACGATCGCATTACCTTCGTATTTCTTGTACATACAGGTCTTATATAAAAATATATTGCTTCGCGTTTTATCAATTTTATTTAGTGGGAAGCACAACCGCGCATATGTAGAAATCCTTCTGCAAACTTTACGTATATTTTTCAGTTTTTTGAATTTAATTATGAAAGTACATGGCTCCTTAAAATTCTCCAGAGCGCAGCAAACACACGTTCGGTGTGTATAAGTTACAGAACTTTGATATATAGTAAATACTATTTACGTTAATTGACAGTTCAAAATATTAATTTTGAAATTTTGCATCGTTTTTGTCATATGTTAAGTAATGCTACAATTCATTTTTGAACATACATTCATCGTGCAAAAGCATTTGTACTTCTGTGAAACAGATGCGACGTAAACTTTGCCGAAAAAACTCAGTGT